CCCCCCCACCACACACACACACACATTTATAGTTAGAAGCCTTTACATTTATTCTACAAAATGCCCATAATACCCCTATCCCCTAGAACAAGAACTTGCGGGTACCTAGCAGGATACTATGAACCTGGATCCCCTTGAACTATTCTATTCTTTGTTAAGATTTGCCTTAATAGATATTCCTATCTAAGCTTTGCTGCATCAGCTGTAGACCTTATTGTTCTTGATATTTTATGTTAGATTATAAATACTCTCTCTGGGGCTTGCCCGAGGGTAGCACTGAGAGGACAAGAGTTAAATCTGAAGTTCATGCCAGGAGTGCACTTAGGCTTCAAGAACTTTGTTTTAAAAATGGTGGAATATATATCAAGCTTGGTCAACATATTAGTCAGCTGGTATGTTATTCTTGTGCTGTTTTCTAAAATAATTCTTTTATCTTCAGAATTTCAAATGCCAATTTTGATCTTCTTCAGGAATACTTAGTGCCTGCTGAGTATGTCCAGATAATGAGAGAGTCAATGTTGAATAGGTGTCCGGTTTCATCATATGATCAAGTTCGCGAAGTTGTCAAGAATGAACTTGGAGGGGCTCCAGATGAAGTGAGTATACATCTTTCAAATAGCTCTTGAAGTCGTATAGTTGTTCCAGATCTACCAATGGATTTACTTGATCTTAGATCTTTGATGTAAATAATTCTTCCATAAATCACCAATTTATTTGATCATTCGAATGATTAACTCAGGATACATTTACAGATTTTTGCCGAATTTGATCCTGTGCCCATTGCAAGTGCTTCTCTGGCGCAGGTTCACATTGCCCGCACTCGTGAGGGAGAAAAAGTTGCTGTAAAGGTAGCACACCGTTTCTCATCGAGACCTACGCATTTGTTGATAATTCAATAGGTGATCAGGATTTTCCAACTGACATAATTTGATCTACTTCAGGTTCAGCATACTCACATGACAGATACTGCAGCTGCAGATTATGCAACTGTGGAGTTAATTGTAAACACATTGCATCGGCTCTTTCCTTCTTTTGATTACAGGTTTAGAATGATTCCAGCGCACATTTCTCTTATATGCCTCGAGAAAGCTGATGATTTTTGGAGTCACATAGCATATACATTATATTAATAGTCTCCGAAGCTCAATTTTAAACTTCTGAAGATAATGTTTTGCCAATTTTACATATATTCAAATCAAAAAGGAATTTTGAAGTTCTTGAATTTTTACAGGTGGTTGATTGATGAAATACGAGAAAGTATACCCAAGGTTTGTTGCTTAGCTCAATTATTTCGATTTTTTCCCCTTTCTTGTTAATGTCTTACCACCAGTTGATTGTGTAGAAGGATCTCTATAGCCTATTCATGTTGTTTTTGGAAATTTGTCTCCCTCATTCGATGAGAGTGTAATACAGCTTCATTATTGCTAGAGATTCTTTCGGTGCTTGTTCAATCTATTTACGTTAACTGGATGTTAAATAAGTGTTCTTACTGTCAAAGTTGTCTAAAGTCTCTAGAAGTTTCAAAACCAAATTATTTCCAACAATATGCTGAAGCTGCCTCTAAAGTTTTGACTAAGTTGAGATGATCCATATTTTAATACCTTTAGTGTTTGTTTGGCACAATTTATTTGAAAATCCTTTTTCCTCTAACTCATTTTCAACCACACACTCAATAAAATAATTTTACACGTGGACCCATAACTTTTCCTTCTTATTTAACCACAGATTCTCCAAAAAAATGATTTTTCACTTAAAATAATCTCTCCCAAACAAACACTTAGCATAATGGAAATTTCACTTGTATTAAGTTTTTCATTTAGTAAGAATTCCGGAAACCATCAAGGTGCTTTACCGACTGGTTCCTTGGTTATTGGTGTACTTTACTCAACCTTTTTTCTGAAGAGCTAGATGTTTCCTCAGTAATAACAAAATAATTGAAGGCATCTTAAGATCTCTCAAATTACAGATTTATTTTGTGCTTTTTCAGAAATGAACGAGGAAAATCCTAGTGGTAACCTTTCAATCTAACATATAAAAATTTCATATGTGTTTTCAAATTTCAAACCCATACTACAAAGAGAAATAACATTACACTAAAAATTATATCAGATAAATATTCATATGCTCGCATCAGAATCGGTTTCATCTTCATCAGTTGGATGTTAAAAATTGCTCTGCATATGAAGCTTCTTCTTGTTTTACCTTGCAGTCTGTTCTTGGTTTTCAAACCATTCTTGGTATAAGGTTTAAAAATATAATTAGTTCCTTTGCTTTTGATAATAATTCCTCTTCTGTTCTAAACTAGATTACATTTCCGGCGTGATTCCTTCAGCAACTTAAATCCTATCAATCGAGTAATTTGTTGTAACATGTATGTGCTCCAGTTTTTACTTTTCTTTTCATTTTTATTTTCTATTTCCAGCTTCCAAGATACAAAACGTGATATTTGATTAAAATTTCCCTTTACACGCACTGTACTGAGATATTGTCCTTGTATGCAATCAAGTACTTTCAATGTATTATCTGTGCTATCTGAAGGTCCTTCGTTTTCTCTTCTTGATTATCTGGGCTATCTGAAGGTCCTTTATTTCCTCTTGGAGCAAACTTTTGATAAGTTATAATGCTGTTCGCAGGAGTTAAATTTCTTGTTTGAGGCCAAGAACAGCGTAAAATGTATGGATAACTTTCGGAGGTTCTCTCCTCATATTGCAGAGTATGTTTATGCCCCAAAGGTACATTGGAACTTGAGTACATCAAAATTGTTGGTGATGGAATTTATCGATGGCGCACAAGTAAACGACTTAAAGACCATTCAGAAGCTTGGAATTCAGCCTAATGACGTTGCAAAATTAGTGAGTTCGTGGGTGTCTCCTTTCAAATTCAGCCATGTGGTATCATAAAATTAGTATGATAAACTATTGAGTGAAAATTTTTCTTTCAATAATTAGTCGTCCTTATCCATAGCTGTTAACCTTTCGCTCCGATATTAATTCCTTTTGAATAGATCATCTAGACCATTATAGTATTAATGGCCCTCCATTATTTTTCGGATTGTAGGACTAAGGTATTAATAGCTCTCCATTTTATGCAATTATTAAGTGGAATATGTTTTATTATTCTCACTCAATTCTAATAAGATGCTTTGTTCTATGCAGTTAAGTCAAGCGTTTGCTGAAATGATGTTTAAACATGGTTTTGTACATTGTGATCCACATGCTGCCAATGTGCTAGTTCGCCCATTACCGTCTGGCCACAGGGGGATTTTTGGTAAGGCATTATTCCTTGATTTTCATTTTGGAATTTTCATTTTGTACGCTGCATTTTCGTCCTACCTTCAAAGATGGGTTTCATTATTCATTTGATGTTTCTCGTACATATAACCAATATACTATTATAATCAACTCAATACTTGCTTATTGGCTGTGCGCAAGTATAGATTTTGATGTTATTTGTTGCTTATTTTTATATTGCAAGTGTACGATATCGAA